TTATCAATTTCCAATTTTATTAATAATATCCCTTAAGTTTTTAATTCGGGTTTAGTAGTCCTTTAGATTGCTGAGAGAAAAAAAAATCATGTACGCCTCAAAGAAAATGTCACACACGCATTGTGGATGCAATAATGATATGAACACCACCTAACTTCCACCACTTGATATGGCATGATGCTAGCTTCTAAAATTTTAATAAAATCAATGGAATCCACTAATCTAATAATCCATATGAAGATAGTGCAGAAAGGTGGTGTAAGAAGATAATAAGTGTCATATTGTTGTTGGGGATGTAATTGAAAAGATCGGTGGGTAAAAGACCAGAAGTGACATTTCTTGAGCTTTTTTAGGACCAAAAGTATGTTTAGTCAAATTTCACGTGACATTTTTCATTATCAAATAAAGGGTCATCGATTGAGCCATTCAAATACGAATTAGAAACTTCATAGACTAAAGTAACACATTTAGAAGAAAGAGAATCAAAGTGAGAGAGGAAACAAGAATTGTAAGTAGATAATCAATAAGAACAAAGAGACACATTTTCTGTAAGATTTGCATTCAATACTCAAAAAGTTAGGACAAAGAAACATGACTACTTAATCACATGTAAAATTCACCACCATTCTTCCCCAATCGGACTAGATTCCACATCTCTCCTGCACATGGGTGGGTTTGAATACAACACTTAGACAGCAACTGAAAGGCCAATCTTGTCTGTAAGGCTTGCAGTGTTGGACTAACGGACAGTAACATTTCTGGAAATATTGCCTGCTATCCAGCAAGCAAAAGTTACACTAATGTCTGACCACTTGGTTTTAGTTTAAATCCAACTTTGATTTCCTGCTCCATTCAAAGACTATCAATAAGCTTACTGCTTGGATTGTGTGCCTTGAAAAATGTCTGCGTGGCCATGTTCATGTGCTATATCATGCACAGAGACAGCAACAAATGCCAAATGACTTGTTTAAACATGCTTCTGACACATATGTGGAAATTGAATGAAGGTAGCAAAAAACCCCCTTGGACCCTCTTATACACACACACAGGAGAGAGAGAGAGAGAGAGAGAGAGAGAGATAACCTTGGTTTAGATACCTACCAGAAGTACACGAGGTTTGAACTTCAGTCCTAATTGACAGCAGGAACGACTAGGGTAACGAGTTAGGCACCATACCAAAATTTTACTACATAGGACAACGTTACAATTCAATATTGGTCAAGTACTTCAAACCCTAAAAGGTTAACTTACTATTTAAATATAAAAGATGTTTCTGAAATGTTTGGATTGATAAATCCAAGTCCTACCAATGGACCATAAGAAAAACCAAGCTTAACCCAAATCCAGATGAGTTTACAAGGCCAAGCATGACTTGATCTTCAAGTTGGCCCCTTCAGACAAGTTGTGGGCCCAGCTTTTAATTCATAATAAATTTAGCCACAACATAACAAGACTATTTCCTTTCAGGTTGATATACAATTTTTATCTCTCTGCGTGCGTGTGTGTGTGTGTGTGAGAGAGAGAGAGAGAGAGAGAGAGAGGGGAGGTGAGATGAGAAAACAATATATAGGAATTTATTTTTTTTGGCCAAAATATATAGTTCTATCAATCGTGTCGAGTAAAGCAGGTTCGTATTAAAAAATACTTCACACATACCCAATTCGTTTATTAATTTGTGTCTAACGAGTCGTGTCATACGGTTCATATCGTGTATCAATCGTATACAACTAATATATAAACAAGTCACGTAATGTATTTTTTTTTATTAATTTGACTCATACCCTATTCCTTTGTTAGTCATATCGTGTCGGGTCTACTGGTTTACAAAACGGGTGATTTAAAAAAAAACTTAAACCCTCTAACTTCGTATCGTATCCATTTCGTACTAATAAATTATATTATATTTTGCCGCTCCTAAGAATATAGAACTGAATCCATGAAATTAGACAAAATTAGAAATCCTACACACTCACCATTCTGCCAAACAAAAGAAACATTACTTTAAACAAAAAAAAAAAGAAAAAGAAAAAGGGACAAGAATTCTATCATTGGGTCTCCCAAATTAATGCCAAGAAGTTTGGACATAGATTTTTGAATGTAAAATAAAAGATATCATTGTTGTAGCATGAGCATCCACTGCCAACCATCCATAATTCGATTTGAGACCATTGTCTAGTGTCCTCCACATGGGTCAATTTGTTGCACATGTAAACAACCAACAGAAACTAATAATATTAGGAGGATCACATTTTTTATTTCAGCACAGCTTAAATTTTAGTTTGATTAGTCAGATATGGATTAGTATGTAAGATTGATTATTTAAAAATAAATTTGAATCGTCGGTTCATTTAATTTGGAGAAATCAATTTAAATTGAATAATAATTTATCACAATTCAATTCTATTTGTGTTATTCGGGTTGGATCGAATATTCAGAGCAGATTTTTATTTTTAACAAATTTAGATATAGAGTTAAAAAAATAAATTCATTGGATGATCAGATTTGAGCTTTCAAATTTTATTGAGATTGGTTGAAATATGATCCAAATCTGATTCATCGACGAGCCCACTTACAATGGCGCAAGCATCTTTCATGCATTTGCTTGATTTAGACCACCACACAGACCTCCTCCAGATCTGCTCGTTGTGGAAGTTAAGTACATACCAACTTCAATGATAGCTCGAATAGTAACAGGAACTATAAGTTCGAATAACAATCGATAGAATCAGATTATTAGGAATTTATTTTTCATGAATACTCTAGTTCATCGTAGATGGTTTGTCTTTGAACAGATTAAAAAGAGAATTAGTCGAGATACGCGTAAGCTGACCTAAATACCCTTACCGTTAAATTTTTTAAAAAAAAAAAAAAAAGATAAGTACATACCAAGCCTATAATTGCCAGTGTGCTTGCAAGAAAGATGGCATGCCCATGCTCAATTGTGAATCACTCACATGCAGAGCTAGTGATAGTCCTAAACACGTTTTACTCAACAGACAAGAAGTGGGCACTTGAAAATAGGGTTTGCTACACTGTCTACACCATGTACCTCTTAGTAGGGTTGGAACATGAATAACAATTATTAACCGCCGCCGCCACCACCACCATGCAGATACAACTACTGACGTAGGGAGCGTGATTGAATGAAATCGAAATAATAAAGTAACATTAAAATTGTTGATTATAATCGATAACACGGAAATAAAGTTCTGCAATAGGAGTTGTTGACTCGGACTAGATAGATTAAACCATATGAGGCACATCTCATTCGTGAATTTTCATGTGATCTACTTTGAAAATTTAAGAGAAATAAGAGTGTTTACATAAATAAATCAATGGAAAAACCTCACTTTGTACCCTGAAAGATTTTAAATTTTTTCTCGTGCACCCTCAAAGATTAAATTTCTCGTATTATACCCTTAGTATATTAAAAACATTTTAATGTGTCACTTTGATTATTCTGTCAAAAATCACTCTATTCATGACGTTGACAAAATGAGTAATAAAAACTAGTGCAATGGTTATATTACAATATTTTTGATACATTAAAAGTGCAATGTAAAAAATCGAATTTTTGAGTGTGCAAAGTGAGAATTTCTAATTTTTCAAGGTGCAAATTTCAATCCACCCTAAATCAACTAGATAGTAATTTTGTAATTCACCGCAGGGATTTAGTCAAAGTGGTGATATAAAAATTCAAGAGATGAATCAAAGAATCAAAGTTTAAAATGGTGCTAAATTCACCAATAAATGGTCTCTTATGAAGAATTCTATATTTCTATTGGTTTATTTTCTCCTAGAGCACAACAAGAGACAAATGTAACGAAATCCTATGCGGTGGATGTTTCGTGGGGGTGAGTAAGACCTATTAATCCAACTACCTACACTAATTTGGTATATAAAATTTTATAAACAATTTAATGAGCATAACAATACTCCTCACAAGATTCAGACCATATTTACTCTTCTAATCACCATTCTATAGAAAAATGTTTAAATGACTGGTGAAAATAAGATTTTCTCCAATACATTTTTTCTCTACTTCATTTCTTGGTAAATCACATGCAATTAATTTACGTAAGGCCTAATATATATATATATAAGTAGGTCCCTAACTAGTATTAGGTGGAAGTACCAAGGAGAAACATTAAGGGAAAAAGTACAATGGATTCTGATTAGTGGAGTCCCTAAATTTATGATGTAGGAATGATCAACCCAAAAACCTTGTTCGATTCTTTGTTTTGTAGTCCTCGGTCCTCACAAGCACAAGGCCATGCCATCTTCACCAACCCCTACATGCTGTCATGCCTTCCTAAACCAAATTCTATCTTTCACTTGATGCTATCTTTGATCTAATTTTGAATGCATTTAAACAAAAAGATAGCTCAGTACATGAAGCTCTAATCATTGTAAGTTTTGGAGGGAGTCAAACGTATGTAGTCTCATCCCTATACTAAAAAACTACATCTGAAACCTAAACTCATGAGTGGAGCAACCTCACCAACACTCCAAGGTCTAATAGGGTGAGGGAATCAACTTTTTCCTAATGTAAGTAAAGTTATATACCATTTACCTCTCAACATTCCACTACAGATGGGAGGCTTGTGCATGAAGTGCGACTCGCACAAACCCAATTTAGAAAGAAAAAAGGGGACCTTTTCACAAGTGATTTCATTCCATGGTCCATAAAAACAATAATTTATCGGTTACATGTTACATGGGTCATTCCCAACAAATAAGAATAAGAGCCAGCTGAGTGGAAAATAACTATGGTGATTAATCCTCCTATCCACTACCGCCTAGATGTAGAGAAACAAAAGAAAAAGCCTCAACGCAATCAACTGTCACAACATTCAAACACCACAAAATCCCAAGCAAAATTTCAAATCTGAAAACATGATACTAGGACAGAGCTCGGAAAATATTACTTACGTACACACATTGGGACACAACAGCAGCTGGAGGATCACATTTTGCCCTGAGTATTCCAGATGCTGCAGCTAACGGCAGAGCTGCTGCACTGCGGTCACAATCTGCGTGGGTTGAACCACGGTCCATTCCTCCAATGTCCCAGCATATGGGGTTGGCACATCCTGTGATGACAAACATACAATTTGCGCGTCCAAATAATCATGGAAATTCTCAGTGATAGCTGCCGTCAAGCTAGCCCCAATTCCACCCGTGCGCATGCACTCCTCCACAATCAGCACACGATGTGTCTTCTTCACTGAATTCCCAATCGTGTAAAGATCAAATGGTTTCAAAGACCTGATATCAATAACTTCAGGGTCGTACCCCTTGTTCACCAAAGTCTTGGCAGCCTGCATTACATGATACCTCATCCGGGAGTAGGTTAGAATTGTAACATGCTCCCCAGGTCTGACCATCTCGGCTTCCTCAAGATTCAACACATACTCTTCATCTGGAATCCTCTCCTTGAGGTTGTAAAGCAAAACATGCTCGAAAAGTATCACAGGGTTATCACTTCTGATAGCAGCTTTCATCAAGCCCTTGGCGTTATAGGGTGTTGAGCACGCCACCATTTGGATTCCAGGAATTGATTGAAAATATGACTCAAGGCGTTGTGAATGCTCGGCACCAAGTTGCCGACCAACTCCACCAGGTCCCCGGATGACAACCGGTATTTTAAACTGGCCACCAGATGTGTAATGGAGCATGCCACAGTTGTTAGAGATCTGGTTGAAAGCTAGCAGGAGGAATCCCATGTTCATCCCCTCAACAATTGGGCGCAGGCCTGTCATGGCAGCTCCAATGGCCATGCCAGTGAAAGAGTTCTCTGCAATGGGGGTGTCAAGAACCCTGAGATCACCATACTTCCCAGCCAAATCTTTGGTCACCTTGTATGAGCCTCCATAATGACCAACGTCTTCACCTATTACGCACACTCGGGGATCTCGTTCCATTTCTTCTTCCAGGCCTTCACGTAAAGCTTCAAAAAGTAGAAGTTCATGCCTGAGGATGAAGATTTAATTTTATTTGCTGTTTCCAATGCAGTATGAAAGCCATATGAAGATGAACCATGAAGGCACAATCATGGGGATGGGGGCGCTTATATTATGCAGCAACTATGATGTTCCATACAGAAATATGTTTTTTTCTCCCTCTTTTGGGTTCAATCCGCACAGGGGAAGTAAATGCAATTTCCATTAGCATGACAAGAAGCACTGATTTGTGCATTCAGATGGTGAAAAACACCCAGATCAAAAAAGGAAGCAAAACCACTTATAATTCCAAGATTTACATCAAAGAAGCATGACTGTTTGTATGCATACCAATGTACAACGGATAAAGAAGCATATTCATAAAAGGAGGGGGTGGGAAGATCCAAAATTCAACTAGATTTATAAATAAATCTGATATAACTTTTGGTTATTGGATAGTAACCATGCGACAACTAAAAACTAGCCAGTGTCATTCATGTATGTGCCATCCAGTAGTTAAATAGAACAAACAAAGCTAATGCATTTCTTTTTAAATCGACAGGGGAAAATGGATATTGACAATGATAAATTTCAAATAAATTTTCAATTAACAATGATAAATTATTTGCATGAACTTACAAATTACAAAAGTTTTTGACACCATTATGAATTGAACATTGACAATTTACAAGGTATTAAAATGTTCGTTTGATAATGGGAAAGTCTAAAAGTCTCCAAAATTGTATTATCATTTCTGAAATTCCAAGCAGTGTCATGTAATTTTTTCATAACACTGAGTGCTAATGCGTATACTTTCTGCAATTAAGATGAATAGCAGAACTCAAAAGGATATACACAAACAGAGTACATATGTAATTATATATCCACACACATGGGTCCATAGCCTACAAGACAGAATCTGTAAAACAGGTTTTAGGGTTTGAGAAATAAGAAGAGGAGGGAAGAGAAAGAGAGAAGGCGGTTGAATAATAATAATCTTAAGAGTGTAGCAATGTGCCCTACGGTCTCTTATTTATATCAGATAGTGATTGAGAATAATTACAATATTACACTAAACCATTATAGCTAATACAACATAAAAGAACTCTAACGCTCTCCTCAAGCTCGAAAATACCCAGCTTGGAACAAAGATCATTGAAGGCAAACCAAACTAATAGCCCAACTGATCACTAGATTTGATATATGGAGTGACAATCTCCTTTCGCATTAAAAGATCTCGAATAAAGTGACAATCTACTTCAATGTGCTTAATAGGCCCATGAAATATCGAATTACCGGCAATGAAAATAGTAGCTTGATTGTCACAATGAATCTTCATAGGAGAAGACACATTAACTACATTCTTACATGCAATATGAGCCAGAACACTATATTCAGCATCTGCACTAGATCGTGTAACTACATTTTGTTTTTTACTACGCCAACTAACAAGATTGTCTTTAACTAAAACTACTTACCCAATCAGCATTAGAACCCTAGTAACTGTAATTGATGATGATAAACAATATAATAATCATTTTCTCGATGCTCCTTTCAAATATTGAAGAATACCACGGACAGCCTCCCAATGGGGCTTCCAAGGAGCATGCATGAACTGATTAACCACACCAACCGTCAGGGGCGGAGCCAGAATTTCTTTTCAATGGGGGCAACCATCAAGTTAAAGAGAATGATTACTCAATAATTATTAAAGTTCGTTGTATCTAGTGAACATATTTATTATCTCAAAATTTCATTCTCTATAAAAAAAAATTTCCTATTCTAACACCTTTTATAAAATAATTCTTCATATTTTTTTTTACTTTCAAAGATTTTACATATAAATCCACGTAAAAAAGTGATAGCCGACTATGAAAAACTAATATAATTTTTTTTTAAAGTATTAGAATAAAGACAATTTCATAGAGAATGCTATTTTGACATATCATTTTGTGAGTGTGCTTGTCATTAATAAGATTTTGACTCATCCGAATGGCTATTTGTCTTGAAAACTCTATTTTGAATCTAATTTTTATATTTAACAAATTTTGTTTCTTTAATCCATATTCGAATCTATTAAATATTATGAATTTTATCAAAAATTCATTCTTATTATATATATATATATAATATATATAATATATATAATATATATATAAATAATATATATAATATATATATATAATTATATATATATATCGTGTGTGTGTTGCATTGTAATTTTAATTCAATTTAATTGTTTAG